AACCAGCGCTCGTAGACAGCAACGGTGAAGTGCGTGTAGCATCGCGAGTTACACAGCCAGAAATTCTACAAGCAGACCAGAATGAACCAGCCCAACCATTCGTCGAAAGGTTCACGCGGAGTGGACGACACGCAAGACCTCCGGTGCGAATGAACTTATGAACCACAACGTGTTGATGACCCATTTACTAGGGAGTGGAGTGTTGTAGCGCCGCGAAACGACGCTTCTGTTCGTGAGTGTGAAGAGCGCTAGTACGAAGAAACAGGAAATTTTTCTTCGTGCACTTCAAAGGAAATAAAAGTTCAGTTGTTGTTTGGGACGCATGTGTTTTATCTTGTGCGACCTGCTCGCCCAGCTCGGCCTAGCAGTGCGTTCCAACAACGGGTTTCGCAGTAGGTTGTCCTCCGTAATGCAGCTAACAGAGGTGGTTCAGAATTTCGTCCTGTCCATAACAATTGCACGCAAATTCACATCATATTACTCGACGTTTGCAAGGCATTTGACATAGTGTCTCACAGCAAGATAATTGAAATCTTCGAAATGTCATCGCAAATATATTCTTAACACGTTAAATTGAAGACTCTTTAACCGGCCGTTCCCCAAATGTCCTCTCTGAGCGAGTGCCATCACAAATCCTACCTAATACGTCTTGAGTACTGCAGGGCTCTGTTTTGAAGCCTTGGTTATTTCTTATTTTTATTAGTAAAATCACAGACAATATCACTTGCAACATTAGGCTTTTCGCCGACTACTTCATTATTTACAAAGTAATTATTATTTGTTCAGAGTACCTTGTGCTGTGTGACTCTTTAAACTTTCTCTCCAACTGGTGCGACAGGTGGCAAATGTTGATTAATTCCGAAAACAAAACTGTCTACATGTTGATAACGCGAAAGAAAGAAGCTATCAATTATGAATTCAGCATCAGTGACACTATATGCTTCGGAAATTGAACACACAACGATATCTAGGTTTGGCGATTGCTGCAAATTTCTGATGGGATGCACACATCACGAATATTATTGCAGAGGCTCTGCGCAAGCTGTTTTATTATCGCAGATACTTTCGACTGGCCTCTAAATCTACCAAGGTCCTAGCCTATACCACGTACAAAGGCGTTCACTTCTACCTTGAACACCCCACTGTGCGGTCAGAGTAAGGTCCCTCTATTTCTGAAAAGTAGCGTGAGGTCCTCCTTTTAGTACCGTGTCCTCCTCGTCTGTCACTGTCGGCCGCCAGTATCGGGTGAGACTCGCAAGATGCGTCCAGCCTGCGTGCGGCGCCTTGAAGCGTTTGCTTGTACTTCACCAAGGCCAGGAATTGTCCTCACCGATGCGAACCAGCGCGCAAATTAAGGACACGGAAACACGAACAGAAAAATAAGACACGTCTCGGCGCTTATTCCCGTTTGTTTCTTTCTCTGTTCTAAAATTATTCGCTTCTATAAGGCCTTACCAACAAGCTTGACACTTTAGAACTTGAAATTGGTCCACTTACGTCGAAGAAGATGTTCCGAGATTTCCAAAGGTGTCAGGAATCTGTTGGTGTTGGTGCAAATTCACTACAATGGGCATTTCCTGTGACGCGCGCGAAAATGGATGCAGTGCATGGCCTACTCGGCTGCCGAACCCCCCTGCAACCCCGACTCTTACTTGAAAAGCGCGGCGTCCTGAGCTCCGCAATGTGCCTCCCAATCGCTCGCGCCAAGTTGCTGCTAAAAATGGTTGGTGCGCCAACGTGTCACAAGTAAATTATCTGCTTGTGATGATTTCACTCGGCACGCATTCCCCATGCGGAAGCGTTTACCCTCTTCTCTAACACGTCCAATAATTTGGCGTGTGCAGTATGCCAGTCATCTACCGATTTATGTGCAGCTGCAGAAACAATTAAGCGAAAACTGTTGGACATCTGATATCGGCAATCGTGAATGGAGAGAGGGAAGACTTTAATTATTTCATAAATTGGGCTGGAACTTTGCTCTTGGTGACTACGGGTGGCGTCTCTGTGTCTTCTCGGGCGGCATCCTTTGCCTGCCGGTCACTCAGCTTCAGAGGGCCGCCTCCCAGCGACGCCAACGAAGACGGTCTCCCGCAGCCGGGGTGAGCTCAAGGCTTCTCCTGTGGTCTGGCATTGAGGGCCGGCAGCGCACTGCGAACGGAAACTAAAGAAATACTTTTCTCTTATGTTCATCCTAAATTGACCGAGTGTCTGTGAAAGAACTTTGGAGAAGCTGACTGTTATCGCGTTTCTTTTTGTTTTTTTAATGAAGACGAGCAAAAAATTGGCCCCGTATGTGCATGTGACGTATGAAGGTAGCGATGGTTTGTAGAAGTAGATAAGGAAGAAGTGCAGACTGGAATAAACATGCAGTGAGAAAGGAACAAGCAAGTAAGCAATTAGCCGGGCCACGTCACCCAGTCATCATAGCGTCACACGAGTCGACAGGATCAAGACCTCCCAGCCACTTCATCAGTGTCTCCTCATCGGCGCAGTTCTCCACAAGACGCCCTGACCATACATCGACTACGGAATCATCATCTGGCGGCACACAGCAACCAGCCACCATCTTCGAATGGCTCGGCAAGACGCAGTGACCGAACGTGGACCACGAAAGTACATCCCAACACTACACCAAGACCAGCATCATGACAGCACCATCAGACGACCTTGACATCCCCAAGTACACCGGATCAGCAGACGATGGATCCGTACAGGACTGGTTCAACCTTTTCGAGCTCCACGCTGCCGCTGCATCCTGGTCGGAACGGGAGATGATCACGAACTTCACTGATTACATCTCAGGTGAGGCATTCAAGTTTTACCTCACCCACATCTTCGAGAACGATGAGTCTTGGCAAAAGATAAAAGAAGGAATGATCATCTGGTTTCAAGACTATAATCGAGATTCGGTTACAACCAGCCATATCGATGCATTCAAATTCAGTAATCACATTCATACGCAGGATTCACGCATTCGAACACAGAGCAGAAGTTTACAATTCCCGTCAGGCGAATTCAGTCATCTGCTCTTAGAAAGACATCCGAGCCGTTTTTCTGCAAGGCCCAACCTTCCACCTGGTTTCGCATCTGCACAAATATCGCCAACGCTAACCTCTTCCCTGCAAAACACAAATCAAGACAATATTCAAGCACCCAATGTACTTGACTCTTCATCTTGCTTACGTAAGCCATCATTTGGTTCTGTGCCAAGTAGCTCGTCTGGTGCTCGTCACTCTCATCGCACCCCTCAAGATATCGCCACATACGCAACAGACCACCTGAAATATCGGCCAAATAACTTTTCAAGCCACTGCCATTCCGAAAGCGGTTGTACTTCAGAAACGCTTGGCTCAATGCTCCCGCAAAGAAACAAACATACGGAATCGGAACCACGTCAAGCCATGTTTGCGGTGATGTCATCCTCAGGAACCGGAACAACCGAATTTCGAAGCAGTACGGAGTCACTATTGTATGCAAGTCTCGCCGATAAAAACGAAAATGTATCTACTGCTTTCCTTTACACATATCATGCTTGCATCCCACTCGTAAATAATGCTGCTACTACCGACAGCGTCTCCTTATTCAACGACGATGACCACCCGCAATTTTCTCAACGCAATCACCAAATCAAGAAAAGACGACGACAAATGAAAACTTCAACGGAAGCACGCTCCCAACTTGAACGACTTAAAAAGTTAAAAACTTTGATCCAAGGGCCATTTCAAGAAAAAAGACGTTTCCGGATGAAGGAACCTTGTCACAGACGCTCTCTGCGCCAGCGGTTGCACAGACGACAACACCACGGAAAACGCTCATTAATACGTGGAGCAACTTCTTGCACGCCGCCAGCACACAGGCATTTAGCCGTCACCATCTCTCAAAAAGCACGCATACTAGATACAACGCATCTGTCGCAGCCGCGATTCAGAATCTGAGGTCTTCTAGATCTCACTGGACTGCCTTCCCTGTGAATGTTTTTGTTCAAGTGCATGGAACTGCCGTGTTACATGGAACTACTCTATTTTGTGATATTTTTTCTTATGATGAGACACCACTTGGTCATGCTTCATAGTTTGTAGCTCGCGCATTCTTTCGGGAGGAGGGGGAATCATGTGACGTATGAAGGTAGCGATGGTTTGTAGAAGTAGATAAGGAAGAAGTGCAGACTGGAATAAACATGCAGTATGAGCCGGGCCACGTCACCCAGTCATCATGGCGTCACATGCATGTAATCTGCAAATGCCTTCGAAAGACGATAGTCTTGCGTCCGGAGAGAGTGAACAATCTATTTGATGTTCTGCGCAAGAAAATTGATGAATGGTATTCTGGCGGCGCTGCGTTAGAGTGCCTCGAACGTGCAGTGGAGGCGGACGAGCGCATCAAGTCAGGTCACACGTGAGACATGAGCGCCACCTGGCAGTGTTCTTGGAAAACGACGCACGTGGCTCTGAGACGAGTGTGCGCGCCCGTCTCAGAGGTGATAAGGTGTAGAACGCAAGGCGACGGGTAGGTGCCGCCACCGTCACGTCTTAGCAAAGCGTTGGAAACACTCAACTTTTCGTGAAAGCGTCGCATGGTTGGCGCAGCGTGATAAGCGCTGCGGTCCTTAAAATTGCTTATGTATGCCTTTTATAGTAAAAGATGCACATGCAGAATATATACGGGTTGTTAGGGTGCCCCAGACTTGCGCAATAGTTGCTTATTAATTGACAATTGGACAAGTATGAACGCTAAAACTTGAGCAACATTGGTGGGCGCTGCGGATGAGCTCAGCCGTTTCAGGTACCCGATGCCGATAAGAGTGGACAAACAGACAAATGCACAGACAGACAGACAGACAGACAGACAGAGCAAACTTTTTGCGTCGAAGGTCTCCAATAAAGACTATCGTCTTTAAAAACATTTAAGCTTGCGGTTAATAAATGTGCAACATCGGAGAAAGGACTTGGTCCTTATGGACAATTACTGTGCGGATACAAGCTCGTATATCTGTTGTGCAGGGGACCAGCTGGAGCAGGTGAGTTTGGAGGCGTCCCCGTGCGCGACCTCGATGCTGTGCGGCCGTTCAACATGTACGGTGAGTATCAAAGAAACTGCGCCCACTGTTTCCAGACGATGCGTGTTGTTGCAGCAGCACGAGTCCCTGGCTGGTCGGCAGCTGATGTGCCGCCATGGCGACCGGTGGCAGCTGCGTGGCGTTGCGGCGCAGTCCTGCGACCACCAAAAAGAGCTGCAACGTTTCCACCACCTGGATGAGCCGCGTCTTGCCTGGATCCGCAACATTGTACAGCCCTGAACCCAGCTGAACAACTGAATCTATTAATTCAATGTCATGAAACGCGAAATAGTAAAGCATCGGACACACTGTGCTCTTGAAACCTACTTCGAATGACACCTGAGTAACTTCCTCCTTCAAAAGCGCAAATAATACAGCACGTGAAGAAGAAACGCGCGACAACTCAGGCGATAATTTTTTAGCAGCAAACTCTGTCAAATATTTGCCATCATATCAGTTCGGTCACAGGTGCTCCGCTACGCAAAGACATTTGTATAAACATGTTGCGGTAAGTCATGAAACAGCGAAGCACAAGATATATTTATTAAGTGTGATACTTCTTATAATAAAAGATCTCAAAGGGGAAGACAAAAGCATAGTGACTACACCACGCCACTAAACTAACGATCAACGCGCACAGTGCGATACAAACGACGCATTTGCTTTAGCAGGCGTGAATGTGAAAAATGGCGACCAAAAATACGAAACATTCAAACATTCTATACAAAAATATCAAGAAAAGCTAATTCAGCATCATTCAGTAAAATAGAAAGTTTGCTCATGTCTGTTGGTTTCACCTGTAGTCAAAATTGGAAAACCATTAAGTATACACTGCATTAGTTCACTGTACTTAAGCTTCGCCGCCCCGTCATGGTGGTTTTGACCACCAGGGGTTCTTTAACGTGCACTTAAATCTGAGCACACGGGCCTACAGTATTTCACCTCTATTTAAAAGGCAGCTGGGATTCGATCCCGCGGGTCAGCACCACGAACAATTGTACGCGTGAAATCTTTCTAACCTGCTATCCACGTGGCCTTAAGATAATACGCCCGATTGGCGTTCATTTATCTCGGATTTGTCGGCTCTGGCGACCCACGGACAGCCCGAGGGTTGCCAGCCACTTTCTAGACAGGGGATATTTGATTTTCAGACCTCTGACAGCTCTTTGTCAGCTAGCCAGATCATAAGCCAGCTAGTTACGGCCGGATCAAGAAACAGCGTCGTGGTCACGTGGGAAACAGAGAGAACCCGAAGCTGCCCGAAGATCGCAAAATCGAACGCTGGGACAGCCAGCGTATACGTAAACAAATGCTGCCGTCATAGCAGCAAACAAAACAATGCGCCGCATGCGCATTGGTTGTTTTTTGCGTTGTCTGATTGGAAATACGTGGCTAAGTTTGCCGAAGAGCTGAACACGTTCGGGGTGCCACTTCCTGCTCTCGCACGATCACTTGCAACTCGCCGAGTCTGCGAACGAAACATCCACCTGGCACACGCCACCTCGAGAACGATGCTAGGTCAGCTGCCGCGCCCCCGACGGCTTAACAAGCTCTCGTCTTCTTAGCACATGTAATAGCCATGGACTTCACAACACAAAGCGCAATCACGCGAGTGATCGTGCGAGCTTGTGAAGTGGTACCCCAAATGCATACGCTCGAGGATATTATTTCCAAACAGTTAACTGTTGGGCGAGTTGGTGCTTTGACATGAAAACCATCCTGAGGGTGCAACTAGACACTACACACAAGACTAGGCAGACGAGGACAGGCGCAAACTACCAACTGGCTTTATTTAACGAAGATCCACACCTTTATACATCAACACCCTGCACAAGAGAACCACCATAACTACCATGTGGTTGTTGTGGCGGTGCCCCTGTGCAGCGTGTTGATATATAAAAGTGTGGATCTTGCTTGAATAAAGCCAGTTGGTAGTTTGCGCCTGTCCTCGTCTGCCTCGTCCTGTGTGGTATTTTTCCAGCTTTTCGGCAAATTTAACCACGTATTTAGCCACGCATTGTCTCGTTCGCTGCCACGACGGTAGCGTTTGTTTACGTTTACGCTGGCTGTCCCAGCCTTCCATTTCGCAATCTTCGGGCAGCTTCGGGTTCCCCACCCATGCGACAATTACGCTATTTCCTTTCCCGACCGGAATCAGCTGGCTATACCTTCTGGCTAGCTCTGGCTGCCAAAGAGCTGCCAGAGGTGTGAAAATCGAAGATTAGTCCTCTGCTCTTCCCTATATTTCCGGCTTCACAAAATGTGACGTAACGGCAGTATATCCTCTTGTAGCGGTGTGAAACGGCGCTTCTGTTTGCGAATGTCCACAGCGCAAGCACGAGAAACCACGTGAATTTTCTTCGTGCCGTTCAAGAGAAATAAAAGTTCACTTGTTTGGGACGCGTGTGGCTTTACTCGCTTGCGCGATTTTTTCGCCCAGCTTGACCTAGCAGTGCGTTCCAACATTGGTGACCCGGAATTGTGATGCAGAAACCAGTATTGAGCATCGACGTCACAATGACTTCGATGTCGACGACTCACTCCGTGACTATGACTTTGACGTCCACAAAGGAGGCTACGCCGACAGTTCCTTCAGTCGACGGTAAGCTGCCACCCTTTTAAACTGCGGACTCCATACTCTGGTTAATTCAAATAAAAGTCCAGTACGCTGCTTGACGCACCACATCCGACTTCACCAAATACCATTACGTCGTGAGCAACCTCCCGCCACCCATAGCCAGTGAAATACGGGACCTCTTACTCGACCCACCTGCTGAAAAAGCATACCTAACGCCGAAAAAAACTCTCATCCGCCCTTCGAATCGCAGCGACTACAGCAATCACTTCATGACAGGAACTTCGGCGACCGTACTGCTTGTCAGCTGTTGCGGCACACGCAACTATTGCGCGGCGAAATAACTAACAGCTTAGACGAAGCATTGTTTCGAGAACTCATTTTGCAAAAGCTGCCGTCAAGTGTTCTGTTTCTAGTCGAGGCGTCAGAGCAGAAAGGCCTACCTGCCGTCGCCGAGCTCGCTCATGGTGGTTACCACATCACTGGCAGCCATGGATGCTAGAACGGACTCAGGATGAACTTCAACGAATGCGTGCAGATATTCCTTGACTCACCAAGACAGCTTTGCGTACATGCAGGACAGCACAAAATTCAAGCGAGCCGTCGCCATCACAACCTCAGTGGCAAAATGTATACTGGTATCGTCGGCGGTTCTGAAATGCTGCGCGTAACTACGGAGTTTTAAAATATCGTTTGCAAGCGCTGCGGGCGTAGCGGGCGCCATATAAGCTTTAGAATAGCGTTTGCCCTGCTGCAAACCGCAACGCACGGTCGCAACAACACCGTAGCCTCGAAACTAGCGCCTGCAGGCCACATGTGGGCCGCGATAGCCGCACGCGATTTCGGATTTTCTGCGTGCGGTCCGCGAACGCCGACTCCCGTTACGACGCATGCGCAGTGGCAGCGGCCGCACCGCAAGGGCTCGCGGTGTGCTATTCTAAAGCTCCCTACTGTGTCCCGCCCTGCACGTCCGTCGGTAATTTTCGTTACCAGCCTCAACATTGGGGCTCTTTTCTATTAGCCCCGAGAACGAACACTGACGTCACTGAAGTCGCGGCGAAGTGACCTCACGGAAACGACTCGCCTGCTCCGCCACCGACGCATTACATTCGACTCGAGCAGGCTCTTAGAACATAATGAAAAAGGGTTTATGAAAGTTAGTGTCAGAGCGTACATACCTAATCCCTGACGATGTTTGCTGTGCCAGAGGTATGGCCACGGATCTTTGAGTAGGCGAGGATGGCCAGCTTGTTCAAAATGCGGTGAGCATGAACACTCCTCTGATGACTGTAACAACACATCTCACTGTGCGAACTGAGATGGTGAACACCATTCCTACTCCCGATCATGCCCTGCATGAAAGAATGGAAAAGACATACCTTTCAAATTCAAAGAAAATGTATCGTTCAAGGAAGTACGAAAGCGGTTCTCAATAGTACAGCACACTACATAGGGGGCAGTGTCAAACGGCCAGTGACTTCCACTCAGACCTCGTCCAGGGATGCAGCGGCTAAGCCACCAGCTCCCCAGGCGGATGCAGCACCTGCTGCTGCTCTGCCCTCAACTAAAAGCCAACAGCGTAGCGTCTCAGTGGCCTCCACGGCCTCTTCTCGCGAGTCGAGGCTGAAATAACAGTCTGCGCACACTTTGGGTTCATCCAGCGCTTCCAGCGAGGCGGTGGATACATCTCAAGTCGGTGGTGTCGAAGGAGCGGCACCGCTCCCTTGAGCGTGGTGCTAGAAACAAACAACGTATAACAGCTCCTCCAAAAGAGGGTTTGCCAAAATAAATCCTTATATACAGAGTACTTTCCCCTTCTGGGTAATAATGGCTGCAGAGATCCTGCAGTGGAATGGTATAGGCCTTTTACATAACCTAGGTGACGTGCGAGAACTAATTAGCGCATTTAATCCTAAAGTACTCTGTACACAGGAAACACATATACAGCCAAAAACACTATTTAAATCAATACGTCAGTTTTCGTAAGGACCGCACTGACCGCTTTGCTTTTTGTCAGGTGGCGCAGCTATTATTGCAGTAAAGTCCATCGCAAGCAAACAGTTGCAACTTCAAACTTCTCTGGAGGCAGTGGCCATTCGCGCCATCTTGCTTAATAGAACCATAACTATCTGCTCTCTATATATCCCCCCGGATCAAGTGCTTTGCAAGGCTGATTTCGAAGGACTAGTTAACCAGCTCCCAGAGTCATTTATTTTAACTGGTGATTTCAATGCACACAACTGACTCTGGGGAGACTCTCAATGTGATGTACGGGGCCGCTTGATAGAGCGGTATCTCTTTAACTCTGGCACATGCCTTCTCAACAAAAAACAACCAACATATTACAGCACTACACACAACACTATTCTGCGATAGACCTAACCATCTGTTCAGCCACTCTTTTACCCTGCCTAGATTGGGAGGTGGTTCAAAACGCCTACGGCAGTGAACACTTCTCTAACTGCTTCAAGACCACAATGCAGCATTCTATACAACATAATCCTCAGTGGAAATGAGCATGCGCGGGTCGGTAAAAGTTCTCTCGTATAACTTGTATACCTAGGAATGCCTTAAATGAATTTGACATAAACAATGCTACTGCACATTTTACCGATTTTATAGTCGATTCTGCACTATAGTGTATTCTCATGACGGACGGGGTCACAAAAAAAGTGTTCCATAGTGAAATGACCGGTGCTGAAATGCATGGAAAATGCAAAATAAGGCATGGCGCTTGCTACGCCGGCATCCG